ACAGTTTGATATTAAGCTGAACTCATAGCCAATATGAAAATCCTGATTGTAATAATAATAACAATAAACAGTGAGGTTTGTAATAGCTTGGTAATTCAGTCAGCATCTCAAGCCAAAGTGCCTTTGTCACTAACAGGGAAATCCTACCTGAAGTAAAAGTTATCTAATTTTCCAATGATTTTGGGCCCTAAAGTTTGAATATCTAAACACAAACTGTTGATATGTTGCGATTTTTATAAGACAACACTTGATAAATCCAAGCAATAGACATAAAACCAGTTCTGTGGAAGTATTTTTCTAGAGATAATCTATTAGTCTGCTTTTGTAAATGTGTGCCTTCCAGCTGTCAGTTGTATTTTATATTTTAGGGTAGATTTAACCCAGTAGGTTGTGCAGTGTCTTGAGTTGTTTGTTTTATTTGTATTCTTTTAATCAGTATTCTTTGATGCCTTTTATAGATTTTTACAAGAGTGAAGTTATACGAGACTCACTGGTGAGTATACTTGCATAAACCTTCAAACTCTGCATGACAACCTTCTGGGACTACACTCAGGAGCACATCATTATGTCTGGTGCCATAATGATGGAAGACAAGCTTCCTGTATTGTATCTTACTGATACCATTGCTGCTATTTAAACCCGCTGCCTACCTGCCAGCTACTGCTTGCTCACACAGTTAGCCACCTTTGGACATGTTGGTTCACTTAACTCTTTTTCAAACATTACAGTAAAAGTGACGTGCTGTGAAACATGCTTTGTCGAATGTCAGTTGTAGATCAATGAAATAGATATCTGTGCTGTTCCCTTACATAATGCTCCCTCTTGGTCTGAGAGCATCAGTTAGCGGTATAAATGATGCAGCTGTACACTACAATGTGATTTTTGGCTGTTCTACATCTATTTGCATTCTTAGTGCAGCTCTACACAAAACTATAGAAGCAGTGAAAGGATAGCAAGCCATTACAGTCAGGCCTGCTGCCGAGTCATGAGCTGACCTAAGCTAATTTCCAGGAATACTGTTGAGTACTCTCGGCAGAGAGAATGCTTACACTGCAGGAATCAGGTTCTGTGTCATCCTTCAGCCCAACTCTGTCCTGCTTAACTCAACGTTCTTTCTGACAGTGGTTTCTAGGGTACTCTCGCCTTCCTGTCATGGTGTACTGTAACCCTCTGCTTCCGCTACTGACTCTCACTAGTTTTGTTTTCCAACCACACACCCCTCCACCCCTGTGGACTGTACTTCTGCTTTTGATATTTTTCTCCAACTTGTCCTTGAAAGTGACTAGGTGTTCTCCCTAATCAGGGGTAACCATACAGTACATAACTGAATGATGGAACTGATTACATTTCTTAGTGCTGTCGGTCTGGAAGTTCAATGACGTAGAACAAACTGTAGCAGGGATCAGACTTAAAGGGTAATTCAGAACAGAATGGTTCAGTCACTCTGCACTAAGTAGGGACCACAACATGACACTGAGTACTTGTACTATACACTTGTGCTTTCAGATTTGGGTCTAACCTCTCTACTATACCCACAATAGACACACTGTCATGCTTGTATTGCCTTTTAATTGTCTGCCATACAAATGAGCTGTTGCTGAAATGCATAGTCTTTGCAAGGCTTGAATTCCAAAATCATCAGTGAACTGTTGTGAATGCTTGATTATGATTCAAAGATATACAAATGGCGTTTGTGTTAATCAGTTATTGTGACACACATTCATGGTCTCTTACTATGTTGACTATTGTATTCCTTGTATGTGCATTCATCAGAATCCAACTTGGCGGAGCCTGGACTTTGGCATGCTGCCAGACCTCCTGGACACCTCAGTGTCTTGCTTTGTGGTGAGAATCTGGGGAGGACAGGAAGAACACTATCAGCTCCTCATAGAATGGAAGGTCAATTTGGACGGCCTCCGATACACAGGACAGCAGGTCAGCAAACGCCATGTGTTAGGAGATGTATATAGGCTACATACAGAGATACTGTGAGTGGTGAGAGCATAAAGGTTTGCACTTTACACAAGTCATTTATAGTATCTAATCAAAATGTGTGTTTTACCTCTACAGTTCTAAAATAGAATCCAAATCTAAACTCTAATGTGTTTTACAGGATATTGCAAGCCCTTTGGCTGAGTTTTTTCAACAGAATTTCAATTAGCAAAATACTAAACACAAAATACATACGGATTAGATTATACATCATATAATACATTTATTAGAGCATCACAACATTGTATATGTGTTTCACTGAATAAAAAAGTTTTAAAATAAAATGGTTTTAATTGGGTAAAACGGTCAACCAGTAATTAATTCTCATGAAAAACACAGTCTGTTGTTCATTTCCTGAAGATTATACAAATAGTGTAGCAGCAGTGTTTAACATACTGTATAAATGGCTTCATTTGACTTATGAAATCATCAATTCACTGTAGCCTAGAGGTTGTCTTTATACTGTAAACAGCTGACTGTACTTTGCTTCATTGCAGCAGTTTGCTGTTTATGTATGAACCCCAAAATTTGTTTTTAGTCAAGACACCAAACCTTATTTCAAAAGCTTAAAGTTTAATAAATTAAAATATAGTAATGTGGGTATACTGCGCAACCTAGAGTGTATCATTAATGTACACAACACCCACAACTATAACAGTCTCTCAATACAAGATTTTGACTGCTGTCAAAAGGGGAGAAAGTGAAGTTTTTTCCTTTTTTTTCCCCTACATATTTCTTTTTCCGTACATTGAGTTTTGCACACTGAGAACTGAGCCAAAGGTACAACTTCATAAAACAAGGTGGAGGATGGCCGTGCCATTGCTATTGCCATTCTTTGACAGTGAGACTATTTCTCACAGCTTGTGCACAGATGCCCACTGTCCAATGCACATCCAGATGCCCACTGTCCTGTGTTCTTGACTCAGTCCCAACACTAAGCCTATGCTGCCTTGCTCTGTCCACAGATTCGATCTAGGAATCCAAATGAGATCATATTTGGATTGAATGATGGCTACTATGCAGCTGACTTTGATCATAAGGTACAGACTTTGTTCATTTTCCAAAGCTTGAGCATCATAATGGAATACCCACTCCTAATCTCGTTAGCTTTATCTGGATGCTGGTTGGCTTCTGCACTGAAACACTGACATGTGGCTGTTGCAGGATCAGTCGGAGCGGAAAAAAAACACACTGCTTCAGGTCGACCAGAGTTCAGTCAGGAACTCCTACAGTGTTTTCTCTTTGCTCAGGTAAGATTCATGCCATGCAAAAGTAATACATCATTTAAGCATTTCTTTGACCTTCACTTTTATCAAATTTATGGCATCTGTACATAACCTAGCTGCATTCCCTCTTGAGTCTTTTCTCCCATGCAGTTACAGTATTTTATGGAATGTTTGGTTTATTTCAAACAGCATGTCGTCTTTCTTCAAACTGCTATTTTATTCACTGTTTGCATAATTGGACATGTGATGAGAAGTCCTTCTATTATGAGTGTGGCCTTTTTGTCTTGAGCATTTGTTGTCCAGTAGATGGTGCCAGAGGAAAGCCAACTTTCAGACCCATCACTAGGGAAACTACTTTCATTTAAAGGTGTAAACCTGGAGTCTACACTATATTTTTTGGACACAGTGGAACAAATAGAGACTATGGACCATTTTAAGGAGTCCATCCTAAATAAAAGACCTAATGGACAGGCCAGTGTCTCACTTGAGACTGTTATTTTCATTTGAACTAAAGTACTTGATGATGTTGGCTGTAACGGGGGTATTGCACATTTACACCAGAAGGAGGAGAGAGAGGTTTCTGGGTAAGTTCCTTGTTGGTAAGGGAATCCTGGTACAGTAATTAAGAACTTGACAATACACAGAACAGTGCTGGCATCTGTTGACAAACATACTTGTTGTTCTGTATTTATATTTAAATGTGGCAGAATGTAAACACTACTTTCACCAGGCCTTCCCCAGAGGGAAACTCACTGTTAACTAAAACCTGATGACATAATTATGCTCTGTTTTGTCCAAATTAAATGTATATCTTGAGTTTTCAAGTTAGACACTTTCAAAATAAGATAAGGATGCTGGCATTAGGAACATCATGAAGGCTTCACCCAACATTTTCCTTCCATAAGAAATAAACAGGGGTATATAAATATGTAACATGTCTTTGCAGTATGAGAAGAACAGAGGTATGCCACTGCTGACTGAACTTAAACAGTGCTCCCTCATCTAGAAGTGGTCTGGTTTTATGTTTACTGAGAGGAGACAATTGTCTCCCAGCAGCTGGCAGGAAAAAGCACAGGTTCATTAATAATGTTCATGACCTCTGCTCTTGCTTCTTCTATCATTGGAATCTTATTCCACATCCTCTTAATCTATCCAACATCCAGTGGGACTTTGCGGCATTTAACGTGCTTACACTGATCCCCCTCTTTCCTTGTGCTGCTGTGCCTGCAGCTCCTCACCCCTGGCGGAGGTTTATCTTGACTTGGTGCACTTATATGTGCATGGGTTATGATTATGTACTGTAGAATGATTCATCAGATTCTGTTCACTCCAACAGGGATTATCCTTCCACCCTCACATGGTATATAATCATACTATGTATACAGGATATCACTTAGTAGTGTCTGATCTACAGAGTTGAAGTGCATTAACTTTCTCAAGTATTCAGGTAGGTTGTTGCTCATAGAACTGTTTCTTTGTTATTGGCTCACCTTGACTCCATATTTTGATAGATTGTACAGTGTTAATATACAGTATGTTACATGGTACTGGCACTGTATCATGCACACTGCATCATCATATAGCGGGGTGAAAAGTAGTGTTATCTATGTTGTGGCTTGTCCTATAGAAGTACAGTATGTGTAAATGCTTTTTTTTTTTCCCATCCAAGAACAGTCATGCATGTCAACAGTGGACACCCACAGTGTCAGGTATTCTCCTCCAGCTCTTTACCTTCCTGCCTCGCCCCAGTGCAGTCTTTCTCTGCACAGCTCTTTAATGGAGAAGGATGAGAGCTGCTCTGCTAAGAATGTACTGATCTTGATTAATGACGGTAATTTGTCAGCAGTTTCACAGTCTACTTTTCTGCCTGGCTCCAGTTGACAACACCCCTCGCTTGTGTGAGTAACATGGTGATGTGGTCTAGCAAACACAACACGTCTCAGATGGAGAGATGAAGAGAGTGCATACAGACCATCAATCAGCAGACTGCTGTCTCTTCCTGAGAAGCTGAGATAGAGGTTGAGCCACATCGTACATATAGATGGGCCTCTGACTGGGTAGAAAAAAGCCAAAGAAGACACTGACCCAGATGATCCAGCTGTTCAACAAAGCTAACCCCCCCTTGTTTTTTTCTGTAGAGATATTCAGAGAGGGTCAAACAATCTTCAACCTTCCTCTCTTTGGTTGTATTAGAGAAAAACAGTAAGAGAGGAAGTAAGACCTGATTGGACTGGGGGGTACAACTGACTTCCTGTTGTCATATGACTGAGTTCCATGATGAACTACAGTAGTTGAATATTAATAAAAAGAGAGGCAGAGTGGGCTGCTCTCCAGTTTATAATGGTTAGAGGTCATTTATGGCTTAATGTGGCTCTCTTATCCTAAAGAGTTATGCATTTACTTTCAGACATTGGTCTTCATAATGACGAGCATTATTGTAGATGCTGAATGTTAGAATGTTAGTTTCAAGTATATTGTAATCAGTGTTGGGAAGGCTGCTTTCGAAATGCAACAGGTTACAGGTTAGTTACCCTGTTAAAAATTTTAATAAGTCAAACAATTTTAATTACTTTATAAAAGTAATGTAACTTAGTACTTTTAATAACTTTTTCAAAAAAATGTTTTCAACTGGGCAGTAAAGCTGAAAAGTCCTAACATATATTTAAATCAGGCAGCATAAACGTCACAACAGTACTCAACACTTATTACTGTCAAACCTTTATTAAAGCTCTTCAACATAATTTCAGTTACATAATACAAACCCTTTTCTGATTTCAGAAGAAAAATACTGTTGAATTTCCAGGCCTGAAAGCCTTCCTGTGTGGCAGCGTGGCCACCTGCATTTGTGTTGTCAGCATTCGTATTGTGTTGATAACCAGACTGCTTAGAGCAGTGTGCGTTGATTTAATCAGCACACACTGTCAAACAAGAGAACCAATCAAAAGAAACCTTGAAAATTTTGCGGAAGCTGCCAAATGAATGGAGCCTATCTAGACGCAGAGACACTTCCTTGTTAGCCATCCTACCCGTGATGGTGTTATTTGTCCCAGCAGCTGTGCTGACCTGTGTTGTCTGGAAATATGCCAAAAGAACACGTTCCTGCATGACGAAAAGACGCGAAGCAGCAGAATGAATGTTATATATGGATACATTTAAGTCTTTCACTGAAAAGAACATACCTAGATGTTAACCCCTTTGTATCACAAAGAATTTGATTGTAATATAATTACATATTTTTTCTCAATAACTAACTGATTAGTTACATTTTTTTTATATCTAATTACAGTAACTAGTTAGTCCCCAGTACTGGTTGTAACAGTCGCCCATGTGTTACACATCATTCTTCAGGCACAGCCTGGACAGTTCAACCCCTCAACTGTGATTTGCATGTGTATACTTCTATTGTGAGCACACGTGTTCAGTATGTGTCATCAGAGTAGTGCACTGTAACGGGGAAGGTCTGAGAGGGGTCTCTGATGTCCCAGAGGCTGTTGAGGGGATAATGTCGTCCTCGAGGCAGCCCCCGAGGTCTGTTCACCTGCTGGTTTGGAGCTGCAGGCAAAGCTCTCAGCCACAGGATGCTGTTGTGGTTCTGCGTCAAACAGGCAGCTGGATTGGAGTTGATGGCTCACCCTGGGGTCTCAACCTGCAGGAACCAGGCTACAGAATCAAACGGAATGCCTAACCTATAAATCAGCATGGGCATGGATGTTCTTCTTGTTTCACACCTCTATAGTGGACTTGCAGAATCAAAGCAACTCCCACATATATTATCTAGGAGGTTGTCTTAGGTTGTTAAATTTTTTTTTCTTCAGTTTAGGCACTGGGCCTACACCACCATCTCAGTATTTGCCTTACTGTCTGTGCTCTGAAAAATGAAATTAAAATTACATTGTCTCAATGCTGAGAGCTTCGACATTCATCTTCCTGTTTGTTCCTCCCACCTCTAAAATTCTACTTCAAATTAAAACTACAGTCTTACGTTTTTTCCTTTATGTTTTATTACCTCAAACAACACACAATACCCTTTGACTAATAGAAGTCTTTGTACATGGGGCAGCTTAATTAACTATTTTTAGAAGGTTGTGGTTTTAGTGCAAGATGAGCTTATGGTGGGGGATCCAAACTTCTAAAATTATCAATGGTGCATGACCCCTTTTTTGACCCCTCTGAGACCAAAGATGTCTTATCTCAAGATCTCTGGATCTCTGTTGTAGTCATCACAGCTTATAGCAACTCACCAGGTCCACACACACACAAACATCAGCCTGGAGGAGTGCATATGCAGGCTCGCCAAAAAACATCTCTCCAGCAATCTTATCTTAACATTCCGTGTCCACGGAGACGATGGTAAAGTGAGGTGAATAGTGTTGACGTTCTTTGGCAATGAGATACAGACAGAATTTAGAAGTGTTGTTGTAATTTTTCTCCTGTAGTTCTATTTCTTTTGTCCCTGTCAGAGGTGTGATACTGTGACATTATCCTCGATTAGTTGTCACAAACTATTTTGGAGCTTGTTTGGAATTGCTAAACTGGCTGCCCTGTTCACTTTGTGCTGCTTGAAAAATGGTCGCTGGAAATGAATTCAGTAAGGTAATTAATCCTTGGGCTTGTTTCCTGTGACCCATGTTTGTTTTGATAAGTGCACTGGGCACAGTTACATGTGAACAGCTGGAAGACTGGCCTGCTTTGGAAAAGGCCACCTAACAGTATATGTCTGCTTAGTTTGAACCAGCCCGTTCACTTCCTGATTTGATCACGGATTTCTCTGCTGAAGTCTGACTATTGCCTGTCCTTCTTTCCCTCCTTGTGTCTGTCATACACAACCATTATTGCAGTTGACTAAAAGTATTTCTCCAGAACAAAAAGCCCTGGATGGATGGATGGAAGCAATTAGGAGGTTGTCTCCAAGTAAGAAAGATGGACAGGTTTCATGTGACTTCAGCTGGTGCCTAGTCATGTGAATTGGCATCTCATCATTCAAACCTCCCTGTTCAAGAAACAGTGCTACATAAAGCATTTATATGTGGTCCACTTGATGTTTCCTGCTCATAATGTCTCAGAATTAAAATGGTGTGTCTTCCTCAGATCCTATCATCACCAATTACAAAAGTATGAATGCTGGATAATCAGTAAAGGTAAATGAAGAGATCAGAGGAGAGCAAAGTCTACTGTCGGCTGGTCCAGCAGTTCTGAGATGATTTTTGGAAAGACTGGAGAGTCAGAACTTTGGTTTTCATTGTAATTTACTTGATTGTAAAAACTGTGACCATTTTCTGACAATACTATACCTCTTCAAGATTTTCTACAAGCAATTCTGTTTATCAAAATATCTGGAAGTTTGCAAAGCACAAGTTTCATTTGACACCCTTGCAAGATCTGGTGGAAAGGGAAGGAGCAATGTTATTTTCTGATGTTTATCGCAATCAAGGGTTGAGTGCACAGCCTCAGTCATAACTTCCTGTGAATCCTCCCATGGCAGAGTTGTTTGGTACCTCTCATACCTTGGGAAAAGAAAGTCATTACTGCTTGTGAGAAGGCATTCTCTGGACAGCCTTCCAGCAATTAAGCTGTTGCCCCACTGAATGTGTACATTGCCGCCCCCTCCCCCCCCACCTGTGCATAGATTGTGGTAAAGCCTGATGGGCAGGTGTTAGGCCAAGACTCAGGGGATGATAAGGGGGCAGACATGCGTGAAATGGAGAGAGGAGATAACTATTCTCACCTTGGGGGAAAAGGCCATATCAGATTCTCTCATTGTAATCACCTAAACAGATGAAGCTGTCAAAACAGATTTGCCTTGATGTTCCAAAGAACTATCTCAAACCGCTGTTACTTACTTTCCTTGATAGATTAAAAATCTGAGCAGAAAACATGAAATGATTTTCCTGTAGGGTTCCTCGCCAAAGATCTATTTACATCATCAGAGAAACATTGTTTTTCCTGTGTTTGTTGCCAGAAAGAAGCATTAAAATGAAGAGGTGACTGCGAGTTTTATTAACAAAAACCTGCAGGTTTTCTAAAATGACCCCATCAAGCTGTAAACCTGTTAGGAGCCTCCTATTCTAAAGCCATGCTAGAATTAAGTTTTTGAAGACCAAAGAAGCAAGCCTAAGGAAAGTTCTGTTTACATCACCCTTATGACCCAAATAGGGTTAAATGGGATACAGTCTGTCATTAAACCCAGCCATTTGGTTGACATACATCACCAGAGCAAGAAAACCCTCCACTGTTGTGTTATACATTTTAAGAAGGGCTCTGGGCTTGAAGAAGATATTTGTGTAAGTTATTAGCCCCATAAGCACTTTCTTGTCGTAGCTTTTCCCTGTTTCAGTGACATGGCTTTCGGAAACAGGAGTCCATTGTTGTGGTTTCAATTAATTAGTCAAAGATGTGAGGGGACTGATGGGTTCAGGTCCTTTGGACAACTTTTGATCTCATATGGGCATAAATTATTAGAGAATAATGATGAAACCTTTTGCTGTGATATTTGTGGTTTGGCATAAGAACTTGATCTATCTGTCAAAACCTATTAAAAGTACTGGTGAGCTGTGGACTTTAAACACTGGGAATGTTCAATATTGTTTAAGTGATTAGTTTAATGTCAGAACTCATCATAAACTTTTCCAATTATGGTGACTGTGCAGTCAGGCCGCAACAATGAAGATCTATTGTGGTGAATCCAAAAAAGAAACGGGGAGCGATAACAGACACACTGTGCAATGACTACCACATGGGGACTGTCATAATTTTTATGATGCCCTCCAAATAGTCACCGTAAAAATCTAAGCTGAAATGAATGAATGAAATGAATTGCTGGCGTAGTCATAACACGGACGCTCAATTTTTATTCAGCCAGTCAAACTAGTGGCCATTTGGAAACAGTTTCAACCTAATGTTCTTGTGATCCAGTGATCTGGATGATGACTGTGTTCCCCTCCTCCTGCAGGCTTCACACAACGCTGAGAGCCATCAAGCAGACCCAAGTGACAGTACAGAAGATTGGGAAGGAGATTGAGGAAAAGCTAAGGACAACAGCAACCTGCACAGAATGGGTGAGCACAGTCACCCATTAGCAGCATATTTCAACTCGTCAGCACCTTTAAAGTTTGGGTAAAGCAAAATCTGTGATTTGTTTCTAAACACTTTACACATTATACTTTAGAAAATAGTTGCTGAAAGCATGAAAAGACTAACAACTGTGTAGTGCTGAATTGTGGTTTATACAGTTAAACAGTTATCATTTTTGACCTCAGGATTTTTTGGCCAGGGCAGAAAGCATTGCTCGATGATGCACTGAAGTCATCCTTAATATAACACCTTCCCCCAATACTGTAATGTTCTAAAAGCTAGAGCGCACAGAGCTCTATGCTTACACTTGTTTTTAGGGGCACTTTTGAGACTGAGCACAGACAAAACTTTATGGCCACAGTTATGTTTTTTTTTTTTAAGAAATAACATTAATGCTGCTGCTTCAGTATTAAACAGTGGAGGAACAAATAAATGGTGAATGTGTTGGAGTGTGTCTGAACGGATGTAGTTGGGGGAGGGAGAGAGACACGATGCAGCTGCTGCACTGGACAGAGCATCACAGTTAAGCTAACTATTAGCTGTTAGCCTAACAAGCTCATAGACTGTGTAGGCAATGCTCAAAATGCGGCTTCTCTAGCAAGTTTATGCTTGTTTAGCAGGTGTTTCATTAAATTACTCCTGCTAGTTTTATTGCACAGACAGTAATGAACATAGGTGACTCAACTGAAAAGTGTGAGAAAGAGCAACACTTTGTCCACTATTTACTGTATGTATCCACTTACTATTAAATCCTCAACTAGGAGCCACAGCAAAAGTAAAAAAAAAAGAAAAAAGAAGAAGCATATTTAACATGTTTGGCATTGGAAGCCACACAGCTGTGAAAATGGAGCAGATATCCCAGGTCTGACATTGTGTTTATTGCAAACATTTATTTCAAAAGCATCTTCTCTCTCCTGCTGTTATAAAAAGCCTTGATAAGCACCCCTTGGCTTTCACCCTTTGAGTAGACTTGTTTTAAAAAGTATTTTTCTGCTCACAGGATTACATACCCTACATTCCAGTGTTTTAGTGTCCCCCACAAATCTCAGCTCTATGATCATGTGTGTGTTGTGTTAGTGTTTTTGTGAAGGTTGTGACTGCCTCTTTAGACTGCTCATATGCTTTCCATAATGCTCATCACCAGCTTTTGATATGGCTCATTTTTGTTCCTATCCCCGGATATTCATCCCACCTATCGAAGCAGCTCCACTATAGCCTCCTTTAGCCCTCTCCACAAACACATTGAGGCTTCTTTCTTTTGCCACAAAGGGTCCCTTTCAAAAACGTCTCTGATATTTCTCCCTCAGTGAAACATTCATTAAAAACCCTTTTCATCAGTTAATAAATCACATAATCCTTGGCTTCTACCCTTCTGTAAAACCCTGGCAGGTTGGAGTGAGTGGAGCATTGTGTGGCTCTTCTAAGGGCTTTCTTCTTTCCATTTGAAGAGCTCTTTACTATCCTTCTGTGTGTGTCATAGTGAGCATGGATCAAAGAGGGACAGAGTGGAGGCCACCAGCCCCAGTGATGGCCCTTTCACCCTCTCACCCACACTCTGCCATTAATCTGCTGGGTTATAACATGCTGCCCTCATGCCTGCTGCTTATTTACTCAGCTGACCCACTTCTGTTTGATGTTAGGGGTTAGACGGGCCCAGGTGGTGGGATACCGTCTCTCTCACACACAGACTCACATGGCTATGACCCAGTTGTCAACTATGCTCCTCAGTAAAAGTGTAGGAGGCTTATAGTTCATGCCAAAGCCAGTGCAGGTTAACATGCAAGCATCAGGGTGCAACACTGTGGAGAGATGGAGGCTCTATCAGTCTTCTCTCTGTGCCTGATACCCCACCCCCACCCCCTGTGTTTTTGCTCAAAAGCCCTCAGAAGTCTTCAAAAAGAAGCATATCTGTGTTTTCTCAGATCTTGGCTATGATCACTATCTAAGTGTTTGTGTTTGTGTGTGCGTGTTGCCCCAGTTCCTGCTTGCGAGCTACAGGATGAATAACAAGGCTACATCTCTGTTATCCTGTGAATCCAAGCTCATTCTGTCCCAGTGTCATTTTAATAATCACCTTTATTTGGCCAAGAATGTTACACACACATACACACACACACACAAGGAATTTGTTTCCGGTACAGAACTGAATTTTCTGTTGCGTCTCCATGTTTTTCTCTTTTAACTTATCCCACTCTCTGTGATCATCCACCCGGTCCTTAAACGTAACCTCTTACACTAAATCTCTCTTTGCATGTTTTGAAGTTGTCCTGTCTGCCCTTTCCAACTTTTAATTTCACATCGTATGGTTCTGTTAGCCTCCAATTTCTCCCATTCATCTACTGTATCTGTATCTACATCTGTCAATCCATGAATCCATGTGCTTTTCCTTGTTAGATACAGTTGAAGTCAGAAGTTTACATACACTTACGCTGAAGTCATTATAAAAATGATTTATTTTTTTTTTTTATCACTCCACAGATGTCATGTTAACAAACTCTCATTCTAGCAAGTCAGTTAGGACATGTATTTTATGCATGGCACCAGTTATAATTCACTTTATCACAATTCTAGTAGGTCAGAAGTTTATAGACACTCAGTTTCACTGTGCCTTTAAACAGCTTGGAAAATTCCAGAAAATTATGTCATGGCTTTAGAAGCTTCTGGTTGGCTAATTGACATCAACTGAGTCAATAGGAGGGGCAGCTGTGGATGTATTTTAAGGCCCACCTTCAAACTCATTACCTCTTTGTGTGACATAATGGTAAAAATCAAAAGAAATCAGCCAAAACCTCATAAAAATAACTGTAAATCTCCACCAGTCTGGTTCATTCTCGGGAGCAATTTCCTAATGTCTGAAGGTACCATGTTCATCTGTACACACACCACTACACATGTATAAACACCATGGGACAATGCAGCCATCATACTGCTCATGAAGATCTCGAGATGCGTTCTGTCTCCTAGAGATGAATGTACTTAGGTCCGAACAGTACAAATCAATCCCAGAGCAGCAGCAAAGGACCGTGTGAAGACACTGGAGGAAGCAGATACCAAAGTATCTATATCCACAGTAGAACGAGTTTGATAGACATAACCTGAAAGACTGCTCAGCAAGGAAGAAGCCACTGCTCCCAGACCACCAAAAAAGGCTGACTAAGGTTTCCAGCTGCACATGGGGACAAAGATCTGACTTTCTGGAGAAATGTCCTCTGGTCTGATGAAACAAAAATTGAACTGTTTGGCCATAATGACCATCGTTATGTTTGGAGACAAAGGGGAGACATGCAAGCCAAAGAACACCATCCCAACCATGAAGCATGGGGGTGGCAGCATCATGTTGTGGGGGTGCTTTGCTGCAGGAGGGACTGGGGCACTTCACAAAATAGATGGCATCATGAGAAAGGAAGATGATGTGGATACATTGAAGCAACATCTCAGGACATCAGCCAGGAACTTAAAGCTTGGTCACAAATGGGTCTTGTCCAAATGGACAATGAGCCCAAGCAGACTTCCAGATATTTGGCAAAGTGGCTTAAGGACAACAAAGTCAAGGTATTGGAGTGGCCATCACAAAGCCCTAATAGAAAATACAGTATGTCATCAGAACTGAAAAAGCGTGTGCGAGCAAGGAGGCCTCCAAACCTGACTCAGGTCTACCAGTTCTGTCAGGAACTGAAATTCCAGCAACTTATTGTATTCTTTGAGTGAAGTTAAACAATTTAAAGGCAATGCTACCAAATACTAACCAAGTCAGTGTAAACCTCTGACCCACTGGGAATGTGATGGAAAAAAATAAAAGCTGAAATAAATTTTTTTTCTCAACAGATATTCTGACATTTCACATTCTTTAAGTAACATAGTGATCCTAACTGACCTAAGACGGAGAATGTTCATTGGCTCAAATGTCTGGAGTTGTGAAAAGCTGAATTTAAATGTATTTGGCTAAGGTGCATATAAATTTGACTTCAACTGTATTTAGTCCACTGCAGGCTCCCCCTCTACCAGATAGAGACATGAAGTGACACCCCATACAGTGGGCACTATGTTGACTAATGACCTGCATGCTGATGCAGCTGCTGGGCAAGGGAGCATGTGGAGAGAGAGAGATGCCAGCATAAAGTTGTGGGCACATGGTGGTCTCTTACTTCAGTTTGTGTTTGCCATACTTTTGCATGTGCCAGAATTTGTTTTTAAGTTATTCTGTAGGTGTTATTTATTTATTTTTTCATCTCTGTCTAGTGAAAGGCAGCTGGGCACATTGGGTCTTTGTCAGCAACAGCCTACTCCATCCATCTATTAACTATACCATTTATTCTTGAAGGTTGTGGGGAGGTGGTTCACTCAGCATGTGAACAGAATCAAACAACTTAGCACTGTCTGCAAATGTTCTAAATATCTTTGTCTTCTTTTACTGCCACTTTATGCGTTACTGTGATAATACTTTGATAATGTCACTTTCTGCAACAGTTTAAAAGCACCTTGTGTTTACACCTTCCTGATAGACATCTACTCAAGTTGAAGTTTGAAAGCTATGATGTGATTTCTGAGGTTGGCAAAATCCATGATATAACAAATTTATAGTGTTTTTTTTTTCATGGCAGTCATTTTGATTTGTCATAGTCTGTAAAGCATTAAAGCACTGGTTTGACATTTTTGGGAGATTCCCATATTTGCTTTATTGCTCAGAGTCAGATGAGAAGATTGATACCATACTTCCATTTGCCCATTAAAGATGAAGCTGGATCAAGGGTAAAGTTAAAACTTAGCTTACCATAAATACTGGGAACAGGAGGAAACAGTTTGCCCAGCTTTGTCCAAAGGTATAGAAAAAAAAAAAAAAATCCCATCTGCTTTCTTCAACTTCTTTGGCTACATTTGCTGAAGTGGGCCCGATCAAAACTCCTCCCCGAAACCGGATTATTTATTTTTTCTCAAATCTGATCTGGGCCACTTAAAGTGGGACAACTGTGGTTCAGTGGGTAGAGCGGTCATCTACCAACCAGAGGGTTGGAGGTTCGAATCACGGTACCTGCAGTCCACATGTTGAAGCGTCCTTGGGCAAGACACTGAACCCCTAAGTTGCCACGATGATTAGAGCCATCGGTGTGAGTTGGTGCAGCAGATGGCTGCCTCGGTTCTGTACCGGAAACAAATTCCTTGTGTGTAACATACTTGGCCAAATAAAAGTGATTATCTTATCTTATCTTATCTTACATACAGTATGTGAGCCATGATCTGACTCATATTTAATCTCTGATCATGCGACCACAGAAATCAGAACACTCCTATCAGAAATCAGGCACGTTTTTTTTTTTTTTTAATGTTTCACTTTTCTGCACTTGTGCATGTTGTCTCTCATCATTATTCAATGTTGGCACTTCACAGACTAGAGAAGGGCAACAACAGCGACAGGGGTCATCGGAGAGATGTTGCCATTTCACATTTGTTGAGATTGTTGACATGTATAGAGCGGTTTCTGTACAAGCCAGGCCGGATATGAACAGTTTGTTACCTAGCAGTTTTTGAGGATATTGCATGATTTGACCACTTCACAAATGAGGTTGCGGTTATTCTTGTATTCACATGGCTCACCTTTAAGGCTGCTGATGTGTGGCAGTTTAGGACCTCAGTGGTGTCACACATGGGGCTGGATATGTCATTTACAAACATAAATGTGAACCATTAACACAAAAAGATTGGATCTGACAAAGCAACAGAAATATGAAAGCTTCTTTTCTAGCTTAAGTATATTTCTCCAAGTGTCAACTTTTTCAACTTTTAATAACATTAATAATGCTTACATTTCATGTAGATGACCCAGTAAGCCATGTCAGTGAACCAGCATGTAGAATTCCAGGCTGAAAGTTCAACACATAAAAAACTGCAGCTGTCACTGCTGTTATTAATTGCACATTCACTTTCACTGCTGTGATAATTCAAAATGTCTGTGTTGAAAAAGGCTTCTAATAGTGCAAGTTGGCTGGCTCTCACATGTGCATAAAACTAACAGGTTAGTGAGGGGGCTGCCAATCAGACATAGCCTACATACACCCATAGGCCTGAAAAAAGGTTTAATCAGGCAAAATAAGTGGAAACACCTGTTTGTGTGGGTATGGGTAGACATTTTAAGATCTGCATGGAGCACATAGCAGTAGAATACAGAGAGGTAAAATTGAACAAACCATGAACATGATAGGTGAGATGTTTTTATAAAAGTAATGGGAAGGAACGCATTAGTTCTTGTTTCTATGTGTGCCATAAAAATATATGACAGCTCTTTGATGTAATTTCATCTTAGAACATCTCAGGTTTTGTGATACACCAGCTCCAACTAAGACTCCATCACTTGTTTATACAATAAAACACCTTCATATGGCATGCTTTATTAGTCGTCACAGCTGTAACTGATAACAGCAACAATGGCTCCATTCCAAGTGGTAAGTAAGCCGTACCAGTGACCGAGCATGTGTAGTAGCAAGGTCCTGGAACACCTGAATGGAAGGCAGCCCTCATTAATGATATTGATGACAGCTGTGCTTTCTTGTGCTGACCTGTCAAAAAGCTTTGTAGTAATTAAAATATAAAAAGTTTGTATATTTTAAATAATAAGCAATTTGAAGCAGGTTGCTCCATGACAAATTGAAATGCTGTCGTATAGTCTCTGACACGCGTGCACACACAAACGCACACCCACATACAATAATAGCCAAGATATCGTTCCACTCCTTCTGCCCTCAACCTCATGTTTGGAGTGAGTGCCAGTCTATGTCCAGGTTTGAAACTCAGCCCTATTTTGTCACATCTTAACAGAAAAGCTGCTCTAGATTAGTCATGAACACTGAATGGTGGTTTATTGATGATGAGTACTGGCTCATCTGATACATATTAAATTAGTGTGACATGGGATCAGCCTGCAGAGAAATGGCTTGTTTCTGAAGAGCTCGTAGGAATTTAAGGGTATTTATAAAGGGTAATGAACACTAAAATTGCGGGGAGCACGTACTAAACATTTTTCTTCATCCTCTTCCTGTATTTGTCTCCATATCTTGTCTTCTTTTCTGCTCTGAGCAGAAGAAAGAACGGGAGTGCATGCAGCTGCGTATATCTGTACTGGAGAGTGAGGTGAAGCGGCAGAAGAAGGTGTTTACCCAGGAGCAAGAACAGCAGCAGAAGGAGAGGGCGCCACTTCAGACGAAAGGTAAAGTGAATGGGATCACATGTAACAGGTACAGTACACTTTACTAATGGACCTGTTAACACCACACTACAGTTTATATTTTGTATACCTTTCCCCAGTGAGATGCACAGTAGGTCAGGGTGTAATGTCATTTTCTACAGCACACAGTATTTTTTTATTTTTTTTGTAGGATTGAAGATGGCTCAACTGAATGCCAACTGATTAAATATATTTGTCTAGTCCAGTGAATGATGGGTATCAAGCATTCTGTTGATTTAAAAGTAAAATATGCACTTGTTTAAACCGTACATGTCTTTTTGTTGCCTTGAGGAGGGAACAGCGCTTTTTGATTCAGTCTGTGATAATGCAGTTATGATGCATCAATAAACAAGTGACACGTAAAAGCACATATTGATCTACAGTATGTCGTCAGTGCACCAAATCACTTTTTAAACCTCAAATTCTTGCTAGGGCTATCATGAACACACTGGTAAAACAAATGAAAGGCACTGAAAATTTAGTGTTGTACAAGCAAGACATCAGATAATCAGTCTTTCTGCAACTCATTTTGTTGTATGTTATACTCCATGAGTTCCAGCTTGTGTAAGAAGACTTATATAATGATTAAAACACATCCAGCAAATCTCACCAGAATCCCCAGTCCTTTCATGATTAACCACAAAAGCCCATGTTTCAGCTACTTGTTGTAAATAGAACAGAGAATGTTGTTATGACACAGTTTGACCATCATTTTCTCTGTACTGCAGAAAGCATGAACACTAACCAGGGTTGGTTTCATTTTAGTTAGAATAATACAGTAAATCCCTTTGGCTGTTGCTGATTAAAATAAGTAGATTTACTAAATCCTTTCATTACCCTCTTTATTATGTTGCTGTTTTGTTGCCTTTCTCTGCAGTTAAATCTAATCTTCATCACCAAAAATGAATGTTTTCAGTAATTTATAATGAATTTTTCCATGTTTTCCGTGTCACCAGTTAAAGAAAAGACAAATTAAAGACAAGTTCTTCAAAGTTGGTGGACTCCTAACTACTGATAACGGTGGGGTTGTTTGGATAACACCATTACTGTGAAGTCTGCCGCTCTTGCACCTTAATGCTTATGTGTTTTTATCATTCCAAGTGCTCACAGGCTGTTATATTATCATTTCAGTGTATCTGGGGGACACTGTGAATCACTCTTTGTCTTGTCTTCTTTATTCATTATGTTTAGATGCCACTGTTTTAGATTTGAAGCTTCTAAAGGTTCTTGTGAAAATCTGTGTTTAATGTTCAGAAGAGCTTATGTTGAGCCAAGCAGAGACTGTACTGCAACTGACTGTGTAATACAGTTAGTTTGTGAAGTTTGCAAAAATGCATTGTATGCACTGATTAGAAACCTTGTGTCTGTAAGATCAGCTTGCTGTTTGGCCAAAGGGCAGAGCACCTCACTGAGCCACCAGCCTGGGGTGGCAATTGTTAATGATCAGCATGAAGTCTGCTCATGAATGCAGACATACTGTACATACTCAGAGACAGCACTAAGGGGGACAGAGAGAGAAATTCCCAGTGGGCTGTGAATCTAAAAGGTTTTTGTTAATCCTGTGCTTCTTTACCTGTCACCACTTTGTCTACAGCCAAAGGACCTTGTTGCACTCCTTCTCTACAGCCTTTTCACAGCTTTCCCCCCCCCAGACTGGACAGGTGCTTATTAAGCAACAGAAGAAAAAATTCCTTCAGCTGGTCAGGATGCATTGAAATGCTTTAGCTGAGCAAGGCTGTGCTGAAATTCTTGTTGTTTTTTTTTTTCCCCAGACTCATAATTCAAAAGCCAAAAAGCATCTGCTGTTGAGCTTTGCTCTACTTCCAGCTTGTTGTTTATCTCTTCTAATCAGCCTGCATATATTCATTTGTTTCACAATCGGAAAAAACCTTACATCAATTACAGACAGGATACTATCTGAGACAGGTGTTTATAGTATTTCATACAGCAGCTGATTTTGTGTCTGATTATATTTAGATTGGCACCACAACATATTTATTTCATTTGATCTCATGTTTCATTTCAGAGACACGTATGATTTTATTGGTCGTAGCTTAATTTACTTTTTTTTGGATCTTTCCTTCCCACACGAGCTTGAAGAAGCAAAACTAGTCACATTCAATTAATACAGAATATAGATTAGTTAGCAGGGAAACCAGTGGCTTAGGACTGATGCTGTATATACCCATTTAATGTCAGTGTTGATTTAATTAGAAACAAGTGTTTAATTAGCTGAATTTCCACTCATTAAATATGGATTTCATTGTAAGTTTTATTGACACTTTAACAGTATGTACAAGTACATTGCTATTCAGGACTGGTAGTCTCCATTGTTCGCCATGCTGTTTACAAACTCATCTGTACCTGGCTGTGTGGTCTTCCCATCTCTCACACAGTCATAGTGCCCTTTAGCAAATAATTCCTATCAACCTGTTATTCCCAGAAAACTGGCTTCTCTCAAAAGAAATGGCCCCAAAACCCCAAACATGCAGTGGAGGTTCTGTAGGTTTGTGTGTACTCGTGAGCTAGCAGATAACGATGAGATGAAAGTTTGCTTTTGACTTTGTTGTAAAGTAGCCTTTAGAATGTTGCTGCAGACTTGCTGATGCCTGTTCTGTGTATATCTTTGTTCACGTCTGCAATATGTGGTCCTCCTCTACCATCCTGGACAGTGCTCAGATAATAAGCAGTGTAAAGCATCAGCAGTTGGTATCATTCTGATGACAGGTTAATAACTGGCTGTTCAGTGCCTGCTGAGTTGCTGTTAAGGCAGTGATATCACAGGAGTGTAGACTTGGAAAAAAAAGCTGTTGTTTTTCTCTTCTGCTAACGGACATCTACTCACGTTTCACTAAGTCCTCTGAATGGCTTTCACACAAACCGTAACAGAGGACATACTGTATGAGCATGACATTTCCTTCTTTACAGCTAGAAATTTAAAATAAGTACCTCCCCCCCCAAATCTGGGGTCACACTCTTGTCACAATTTCCTCCTGTCTAATTTCCCTGCCCCCACCTTGAGCAGACAACATAAATCAGACTTGTGTGGCATTTATTGTATTGTAAGTTATTCTCACACTCAGCCATGGCTCCTGACCAGTAAATGTCAGTGGCTGGGTTTCTTAAGTGTAAGGAGAACAGTTTTGTGAAGGTATGGTGTTTGCAGGTATTTTGTCACCTCAGAGAAAAGGTCTCATATTGAAGCTATCATCATTAAGACTCTTTTAACAACAGCTCAGAGCAATGACTCACCAGGATGTATTTCTACCTACAGTGGTGTGAAAAAGTGTTTGCCCCCTTACTGATTTCTTATCTTTTTGCATGTTTGTCACACTGTAATGTTTCAGATCGTCAAACAAATTTATATATTAGTCAAAGATAACACAAGTAAACACATCATGCAGTTTTTAAATGAAGGTTTTTATTATTAAGGGAAAACAAAATCCAAAACTATAGAGCCCTGTGTGAACAAGTGTTTGCCCCCCTGTCAAAACACTGGTTTATCGCACCTGAGTTCAATTTCTCTTGCCACACCTGTTCGCAATCAAGAAATCACTTAAATAGGACCTGCCTGACAAAGTGAAGTAGACCAAAAGATCCTCAAAAGCTAGACATCATGCCGAGATCCAAAGAAATTCAAAAACAAATGAGAAAGAGAATAATGGAGCTCTATCAGTCCGGAAAAGGTTATAAAGCCATTTCTAAAGCTTGGGGACTGCAGCGAACCACAGTGAGAGCCATTATCCACAAATGGCGAAAACATGGAACAGTGGAGAACCTTCCCAGGAGTGGCCAGCCGACCAAAATTACCCCAAGAGCGCAGCGACAACTCATCCAAGAGGTCACAAAAGACCCCACAACAACATCCAAAGAACTGCAGGCCTCACTTGCCTCAGTTAAGCTGAGTGTTCATGACTCCACCATAAGAAAGAGACTGGGCAAAAATGGTTTGCATGGCAGAGTTCCAAGACGAAAACCACTGCTGAGCAAAAAGAACATAAAGGCTCGTCTCAGTTTTGCCAGAAAACATCTTGATGATCCCCAAGACTTTTGGGATAATACTCTGTGGACAGACGAGACAAAAGTTGAACTTTTTGGAAGGTGTGTGTCCCATTATGTGTGGCGTAAAAGTAACACCGCATTTCAGAAAAAGAACATCATACCAACAGTAAAATATGGTGGTGGTAGTGGGATGGTCTGGGGCTGTTTTGCTGCTTCAGGCCCTGGAAGACATGCTGTGATAAGTGGAACCATGAATTCTGCTGTGTACCAAAATATCCTGAAGGAGAATGTCCGGCCATCCGTTTGTGACCTCAAGCTGAAGCGAACTTGGGTTCTGCAGCAGGACAATGATCCAAAGCACACCTGCAGTCCCCAAGCTTTAGAAATGGCTTTATAACCTTTTCCGGACTGATAGAGCTCCATTATTCTCTTTCTCATTTGTTTTTGAATTTCTTTGGATCTCGGCATGATGTCTAGCTTTTGAGGATCTTTTGGTCTACTTCACTTTGTCAGGCAGGTCCTATTTAAGTGATTTCTTGATTGCGAACAGGTGTGGCAAGAGAAATTGAACTCAGGTGCGATAAACCAGTGTTTTGACAGGGGGGCAAACACTTGTTCACACAGGGCTCTATAGTTTTGGATTTTGTTTTCCCTTAATAATAAAAACCTTCATTTAAAAACTGCATGATGTGTTTACTTGTGTTATCTTTGACTAATATATAAATTTGTTTGACGATCTGAAACATTACAGTGTGACAAACATGCAAAAAGATAAGAAATCAGTAAGGGGGCAAACACTTTTTCACACCACTGTATTTCCTGCCTTTTTCTGCTAACTCCCCTGATATTCCACTCAGTATCTACGGTATGTCCGACATTTTCCTCTTGAAAAGTGTTGGCTTCAGAATAAGGTGGTTCAGATTATTTTTAGTTGGAAATAAAGGCATGAGCTTTACAGCATGCAATATTCAACAAGGGGTGTGTCCGAAATTGCCTACTACACATGTATGTAATATTTTTGCCGAATGCCTCGTACACAAATGAGAATGCAGTATGCACTGCAGTCACTCCACCATCTAGTGAGCACAACCTCTGACATAATGAGGCCATCTAGCTGTCAATTACCTGGATGTTTATGTGTGACATCACCAGTCGCTTGTTCTTCTTTCATTCATAATGGTAGTGTAGCACACTTGTCACTTCTCATTTGCAAGTGTTTAGAGTAAAATTTCTAGTGACAGAGGCCTCAAATTTCTGTTTACATATAACCATCTTATTACATGAACCACCACATTGTACATATTATCACATATAGATTTCTGAATGTGATGATATATCCACAATGGATACAGCTAGCCCGCTATGTAAAGCTAGCTAGCTGGCATGTTAGCAGGTCATCAAATCTCTGAAAACATCTGATTACATTTTAAAATTGGCATTTTTTGGATAGTTTCACCAAATATTCAAAAACTACATGGTTATTTTCTCAGCTGAAAAATATCAAAACTTAGTAAAGTAGCATAATAATAGCCCTAGGATGGAAATTGTAACAGCATTGAACCTGCCCTGCCACCACCTTGGGATGGCTGAATAGCATAGTGTCCACTGCTTCCATACTATGAAGTTATGTTGGCCATCCGGGAGGCGACAGTGGTGCAGTGGGTAGAGCAGTCGTCTCCCAACCAGATCCCATACTTCCTAACTGCCAGAATTTGGTGCACTGTCACACCTCCAACACCCTCCAAGGTTGTAAGCACACAACCTCAGAGGGCACAGGTAGAAACCAGCTGAGGAACTACACACCCCTGACAAGGCAGGAAAGGTGTGAAGAGGGTTAGGACCTTCAGGTACCCTGGAATTCACATCACAGAGAATCTGACATGGTCTACACACACAGACTTCTTAGTCAGAAAGGTGATGCAATGCCTTCACCACCTCAAACTTTAGGGTAGGCGACAGTGTTGCAGTGGGTAGAGCAGTTGTCTCCCAACCAGAAGGTTGAAGGTTTGAATCCCAGTCTATACTACTTGTTTCACATACACATTTTAGCCTACTACATAGTAGGCAATTTCAGATGCACCCATTGTTTTCTTGACATTTTAATAGTTACTGATCTCCCATAATAATAATAATAATTCTTTAACAGTAATCTTCAGCTAATTTCTCATTGTGATATCCATTTGAGTTGGTGAAATGTTCACTCTGTATCATAGCCAGTTTTATTTTCACCATTTTCACAACTGTGATGAATGTTGCATGGGTTAACTGTCTCCTGATAAAGATGAAACTTAACAACTATAAGGTTATTTACAGTTTTAATGTGAATCAGATTATATGCGCCATTAAAGGTTTTGCTTATGGGACTTTGCTGTATAATTTAGGACAGTAACGTTTTCTCAGTAGCTTTGATCAGTCAAGTTTGATTCAGTTTGACTGAAGATTCATGTCCTTTAAACTGTAGCCTTACAGGTTAGCCATCTAAAACATCACACATCAAATTCCTCTTAAAACAGCTCAGTGGGGCCACAAACACTTTGACAAGAAAACACTTGTTTCACTTTTAAAACTGTTTTTACAGAGTAGTTCTCTACCTCATTCAGTATATGAGTGTGCCATTTCCTACACAGACAGAGGTAACACACATCAAGAACTTGTGGAGTGCTTGTCCATTTTGCAGATAGTTTTAATTTAGGATCCAACAAAGCCTGCTGCCAGAAGGACTTCATCCTGCATTGTCTCCTGTGTGAGATTGAGCTCTCTGACTGATTTAATGTCAAATGAAGATGTTTTCCACATGAAGTTCTATAGCATTATAAAGCCTCTCTGTATGTAAGATGCCACATGTGTGCTGCCGCGTTATTTGCTGTATTCTGTCCGTCATGATACGGTGATGCAAACTGGAACAGGTTAGAGGGATGTCAGGATGAAAAGATGGATAGCTAGAACAGATAGGGCTGAGCTGGGCATTACATGAAAGCAAGAGTGAAATACAGGCACATGCAGTCAGTGTTCAGATATGTTTTTATGTCATCACTTACAGGCCTGTTTGATCTCTGTCTGACACTATCTGTTCTAGGTTAATCTGATGGAGATACTTCTGAGTACCTCTATATTCTCCTGTCTTTAGAACTTTCTGTCTGCTTTGAGCCTTCTGATGGCACTTTGAGCAGCACTCAACTTTCTGCCAGCCACTGTCAGATTACAGTGCTGTGAAAAAGTTATTGCCCCCTAAACCTAATAACTGGTTGTGCCACCCTCAGCAGCAGCAACTGCAATCAAGTGTTTGTGATAACTGGCAATGAGTCTTTCACATTGCTGTGGAGGAGTTTTGGCCCACTCTTCTGAATTGTTTTAACTCAGCCAGATTGGAGGGTTTGAGCATGAACCACCTTTTTAAGGTCACACCACAGCATCTCAATGGGATTCAAGTCTGGACTTTGACTAGCCCACTCCAAAACCTTCATTTTTTTTTTTTTTTTAAGCCATTCAGCAGTGGACTTGCTGGTGTGGTTTGGATGATTGTCCTGCTGCAGAACCCAAGTGCGCTTCAGCTTGAGGTCATGAACCAATGGCCGGACATTCTCCTTCAGGATTTTTCATTAGAGAGCGGAATTCATGGTTCCATCAATCAAAGCAAGTCATCCAGGTCCTGAAGCAGCAAAGCAGCCCCAGACCATCACACTACCACCACCATATTTGACTGTTGGTATGATGTTGTTTTTCTGAAATGGTGTATTACTTTTAAACCAGATGTAACAGGACGCACATCTTCCAAACAGTTCAACTTTTGTCTTGTCAGTTCACAGAATATTTTTCCAAAAGTCTTGGGGATCATCAAGTTGTTTTTTTTGTCAAAAGTGAGACGAGCCTTTATGTTCTTTTGGTCAGCAGTGGTTTTCACCTTGGAACTCTGCCATGGATGCCTTTTTTGCCCAGTCTTTCTTATGGTTGATTCATGAACACTGGCCTTAATTGATGCAAGTGAGGCCTGCAGTTCTTTAGATGCTGTTATGGGTTCTTTTGGATGAGTCGCCGCTGCACTCTTGGGGTAATTTCGCTAGGCCGGCCACTCCTGGGGAAGGTTCACCACTGTTCCATATTTTCTCCATTTGTGGATAATGGCTCTCACCGTGGTTCGCTGGAGTCCCAAAGCTTTAGAAATGGCTTTGTAACCCTTTCCAGACTGATAGATGTCTATTATTTTGTTTCTCATGTGTTCCTGAATTTCTTTGGATCGCGGCATGATGTCTTGCTTTTTGAGATCTTTTGGCTACTTCACTTTGTTAGACAGGTTCTACTTAAGTGCTTTGTTGATTCAACAGGTCTGGCAGTAATCAGGCCTGGGTGTGGCTAATGAAGTTGAACTCAGCTTTCCAAAAAATGTGATTAACCACAGTAAATTCATGATTTAAAACGGGGGGGGCAATTACTTTCTCACATAGAGCCATGAAGGTTCGGATACTTTTTCCCCCTTAATAAATAAAATCATCACTTAAAAACAGCATTTTGTGTTTACTTGGGTTGTCTTTGTCTAATATTTAAATTAGTTTGACAATCTGAAACATTTAAGTGTGACAAATATGCAAAAAAAAAAAAGAAACAAGGAAGGGGACAGATACTTTCTCACAGCACTGTATATTGCAGTCTTGCTTAGAAAGTGATCCAAAATAGGGTGGTTTTTAATTATTTATTTATTTATTTATTTATTCATGGTTGACTCACAGCATCCCTACGCTCCATAGACTGTGTGGAAGATTCAGTTTTAATTGAACAGTGCAGGTTAAACACAAGGGTACGCTAGGTTATTGAGAACTAGCGCTGGTATTGGAACCGATTCCAAACTTGAAAGAACAGTGGCATCCTCAAGAGCATGCTGTTTGGTTCCTGAGTGATGTTTGAACCTCTTATTCATCCTTCTACTGTTACTCGCTAATTATATGTAAATAAACACTGATAGCAAAATCACAACATGGATGTATTTGTATTAATGTGCATTAGATAACTTTTAATTAAAATCATGTGGAAGCTTAAGTCATGAATCTGTTGTGTGTGCCTGCCATCCCACCATGTGTGATGCTGTGTGAACGCAGCTTAGGGAAACCTTGTCTTGTAACCATAAATTATATTTTGCTTCTTCCTGGTATATGCTACATTGAGTTATTGTGAGCTTGCCAATAGTGTGGTTGCACAACTTCCACAAGCTGTATCATCACTGTCCCTTATCGGATTTTATTTATTTGCCCAGCTCTCTATTTACACAGTCTGTCAAATCCTGTAATTTGTATACATGTTGTTTAGTTTAATGTGCTGTCAGAGAGAAATGGTTTTGGCCTGATCAAAAGACCTGTTTTAACCATGGATGGCAGCCAACCACACACAGGCCCACCTGGCTGTTCGGATGCACTATAGTAGAAAAGAACACACACCTGATAATTTGTATTTTTCTCTCTGTCTCTGTTAGAGAAAGAATTCTCTACTAAGCCTGAGAGTCTGAAGGAGCAGAAAGAATCTTTAACCAAGCTGCAGAAGGAATGCACTGCTAAGAGGTATGTGTGAACCTGTAATTAGCCACTGCTTCGTTTCTCCAAAGAAAACACACTTTTTGAAGGCATTTCTCCTTGTCAGCTAGACATTGCCCAGGGCCCACTGACTGATGCTCCAGTGTGTTGCTCAGTTGCATTGAACTGTGATGAGATTACACCCTGCATCCTGCCCTCCCACCTTGCGCTTTCAAAACAAGGGGATGTTTTTTCGGCTGGCACTGCTTATTTATGTGTTCTCAACAGAGAGTTTACACATTGTGCTGAAAAGTTTGTTGGCCTGTGTTTGACTTGGGCTGTGGGGTGATGTGTTTGGCAGCTGCTGAATCTGGATACAACTTCTTTTTTTTTGTCTGAGAAGTACCTGGCAGTCACAGAGGGTAAAGCAGAGCCCCAGGAAGGTCAGCAAGGGTCAAGAGAGCCAGAAAACAGGAAATTAACACAGACATTTGTACTTCTGCCTAACATCTATTCCTTGGAAATATCTGTGTTGTCGATGTTTTCATGGAAATGTCTCTCTTTATTTAACTACTTGTTTGAGCTAGTGAAAGGTTATACTTACACACATACACACTCCTCGGCCCCTTCCCATTCCTGTTTAATATTTTACGGCTGCTGTTGAACAGCTTCTCTCACAAACAGCATCTGACAGGTTATTTTTAGTTGTGGTATCTTGAGTTGTTGTAAATGTAATTGTTGATTTTATTCTGCTTTTCAAAAACATAAAAGTATTTCACTTTGCCTTTTCAGATTGCTGTAACCTGCTTGGCAGAACTAAGAACATATATTCAGTCACTGCACTTCAACTGTACCATTTAGATGTATTTGATACAACTTTATACTCATACTACACTTCATTGGGAAATACTCCTTCACTCTTACAGGTTAATTAAACATGGTAAATATAAACATGGTTCAGTGGGTAGAGCAGTTGTCTCCCAACCGGAGGGTTAGAGGTTCGAATCACGGTGCCTGCAGTCCTTGGGCAAGACACCAAACCTCCAAGTTGCCCCCCGATGATTAGAGCCATCGGTGTGAATTGGCACCCCAGATGGCTGCCTCGGTTCTGTACCGGAAACAAATTCCTTGTATGTAACATATTTGGCCAAATAAAGGTGGTTGTTATTATTATTATTATGAAATGCAATGCATTGTTAAATATTAAACCAATGGTTACCATATTTATGTCTCTTTCAATAAACCAGTGACTAGCTGGGGTTCATTGTTTCAGATGACTTTATTAGAAGCATTTCCACTAAAGAGACATTTCCTCTTTAAACTTCTCAGATGGTTTTATTTAAATCACTGTTCCAGGCCAAATCTACAGAAGAGGATGAGGGTTACTAAAAAAAATGGAGTTCTGGCTTTTTTCTCAGAATTCAGGCTTTTTTAAAAGTCAGCTTTAAAGTCAGAATTCTGAGTTCAAGTTAGAAGTCAGAGATTAAAGTCAGAACTCAAGTACATTTTTTGCAGTGCGAGGAATTACCATAGAATTTTGAAATTTGTATATCAAACAAAATCTAGAAAATTTATCTCTACAAAAGTCTGCAGTTCATGTATATTTGTTCAGATTGTATATGATAGGATTTTACAGCTTATTTCACCTATTGATCTGGTCACAGTTTGACTGGTCATTGCATTAGCAGCAACGTGAAATGTGACAACCTTCTTCAGTTTTTATTTATTACTTGTGCATAAAGTTGTGTGCTTTGTACAAAGCGATTGTTTTACCACAGCAGTAAACAGTCTATACAGTACTCGCACAGTGTCACCTGACTTGGGTTGCACAGTTGACATTAACAGCTACTGGGGCAACCACTGAGACTTCAACACTTTTCACAGGACATAATGCCTTCCAGCCTGTTTTGATAACGGGACCAGCTGGGGTTGATGGACCCAGCAGAGGTCGTTGGCACTGTCCAGTTATTTTAACAGTTAAACTGTATATAACTCACAGCAGTGTCAGTTAGCCCTCATAAGCGTGGCCTGGACAAAAGCAGACTGGACCAACATTAGCCTGTTATCACACATCATTATGCAGCACACTGTACATGAAGTGTTCTCTCTGTTCATCATAAATCCTTAAAATTTCCAGTACCTTTAATTACCTTTATTTACAACAAGTGGGTCCCAGTGAAGCAGTAACTAGCCTGGATGGTTCTGCCAGACTGTATTTGTCTTTATCCTCATCTCTTCCAGCCACACTCCTCCCCTTACAGTCTCGCCTGTGCTTCTCTGGTCTCTCCTTTACCTCACCAGTCCTTGTGCCCGCCGCTTTTAACTGAAGCTTTTGTCTCTTTCTGCCAGCTGGTTACTCACTGTGTCATTCTTGCATCTGGTTTTGTCTTCTCAGAGAGCAGTTTCTCAAGACTAACGCCCAGCTCACCTTCCGCTGTCGTCAGCTCCTCTCTGAGCTTTCCTACATCTACCCCATTGACATGGTGAGTTGGATCTGACAGTACACTGCTGCACAACACACTAGTGACAAGGCAACTGCAAAGAATTATCTAACCATATAAGCTATGCTTTGAGAAAGCACAAATGGTGTGGATAGTTACGTGTGCTACAGTACCTTTAGTAATATCTGGTTCAGAATGTCACTGCCGCTTCAGAAGTTCATCTGAAGTCGTCACTTCTTTTCTGTACTGTATATAACTGTTACTCAGTTTTCTAAAACTCTAGGCAAATAAACTAAGTACTTTAAATGACACAACTGACTGAATGATTGAAGTGTCTCTGGTGTTTTGTCCGAACACAGGTTTCTATCTTGTCTGGGTCTGTATCTACTGACTGATCATTGTCATGTATATGAAACTTCTTATTTAAATCCACAGACTAATCAGTCAGATTACGTCCTCTGCGGAGTGAAGCTGCCAAACTCTGAAGAGTTTCAAGGTAACTTACCTATGGGCCTGGGTGTCTGTTTCAGGGTTACATTGGGAGAATCTGTGGTAAAACATGCTGAACAAATGTTGGGTCTAGATTTATTGTTTGTGGTTACACAGATATTTGGTGGATGATTTAAATTTTCAAGGCTGATGATTTCATAGATGCAGCATCAGTGAGATCATACTTTTGGCTCCTCTAGATAGTAATTTGGTAGTTAGTAAAATTTCTAAGGTATTACAGTCATTAACGTGCATAAATGACATGATTTTATAATTACCGGTGTGTCCTTTTAATGCCTAAAAGACATAATGACAGTTGTTTCATCAATAGAGAGTCAGTAGTTCTACTAGCTGGGAAAGGTTGACACCCTTCTTTACTCTGGCTAGTTTCTCTGGCCAGTTCTGTCTAATCTAAATCACAGTTTAGCCAAATATGTGAAATGAGTCAGCAGTGTTCGAACACCAGTGTAATCACTTTCCTGTGGTGAAGATGGTATTTGAATGCAAATTAAGACACATTCACAAACCTTACTGGGTGTATTTTTGTTTTTTTTATTCTCCTGACGTGCCATTTCTTTCATTTGTCTTGTCAGCACAGAGAAACACAATAAACAAATAAAATTTCCTGTTAGGCTTCATACTGACTGTGCTATAAATTAAAAGGAAGATAGGTAAGACTGTTTTCTTTTTAAGCAAAGAAACAGTTTGGAGTTTGGATCCCTGCAGGAAGGCTGGGCATTGACCACACTTAGGTTGGGTTGCATTTTTCTGGTTTTTGAACATTTAGCCTTTCAGGTCTTCTGTTGGCTGCTGGTGGAGGAGTCCTGTTGAGTCTTGCCAGAAGAAGCTTCTGTATCTGTTCCGTTAACCCAGTGAGACGCAGCCACAAAATCAAAGCCTAATATTAAAGACACAATATTAGGCAATAGAACAGTTTTGTCAGCAGCAGTTTCAGCCACAAAGGCCTTGTTATCATATTGGTGAGGTATGTTAGACTGAGGGTCACGCTGTATGTGTTGCAATAAATGAGATATACTGTCACAGCAAGGGAAACCTGATCAGTTTATGACCTCTCCATTGCTCAGATGAACTGAAGAGGGGTTGGGCTGAATGAGAACCGAATGGTTAGCTTTGGTCTGCTGAGAACACACCCGCCACTATCCACTCAGCTTTCTCAAGTTCCCCTTCCTCACAGCTGGTGAGATCGAGCAGGCCTCTGAACTCATAATTCAAAAATACCATTCCCATTCTCCTCCGCTCCCTGCTGTCACATTCCACCTGTTAACATCTATAAGAGCACACAGAAGTGCACAGTAGTGACAGCCAATGCGTGTTTGCAGCGATCACTTATTCCCATAAAGTGGAGGTGTGTGTCTGCTTCTGCCTTCCAGTCCTGCGTAGGTGGACATCAGTGAGTAAACTAATGAGCATGTGCTGTGACAGAAGATAGAGAGGCTAACAGAGAATGTCCTGATGCATTTACTTCTAACTACCTCATGTTGTATGCCCTCCCTCCTGGTTAGGTGGCTTGTGGTTTGTGAAATGCAATTCCAGGTAGCTATTAATATTCACCCTGTAATAGCTGTGACCATTTGATGTGCTGCTAAGGCCAGTAGAACATGTAGACCCGTTACACAGAGATGACAGGGAGAAAGAATGGACAAGCATACATTTTATTATTATTATTATTTTAACCCATTTAATCCATTTGGCTGATTCTTGCTCCTATTTGTGTGAGGTCTGCCACAGTGAGAACCTGTTCAAGTCCTGAACTGTCCGGATGTGTGTCAGTCAGTTTAGAAAGGCCTACAGGGCAGGATGTTCCACATTAGAGACTAGGGTCAGGGTTAGTCGGGGAACTGATGCTACTGCGAGTCAAAACGGAACAGCACTGATGCCCATCTGTGTTTTACATCTAACTAAGCCTTGTCAGTTCAGTCTGGTATCGACAGTCTCCAGTTGCACCTTGAGGTGTCGCTTAGTGACATGTCCTTTAGTTGACCTGATGTTCTTGTTAGTGAGAAACATCATGCAGAAAGGACCAAAAGTCAGGCAGTTGTTTGCTCCAGGTGCCTAAGCTGCTATGGAGTAAAAAATAGATGAAGAACAACACCACAAATTGGGATTTTTGTTTTAAATTGAAATCCATACATTATGAGCTAAGTAGTCTACCACTCACTACCGCCAAAGTATATTATTTAAAAGCATTAAAATATAACCACAGTGATTTTAGGCCTCTTTTTCTCCAGCAGTGTCCTGCTGCTGTTTGAGAATGTGAGACCACTTAGTGTGTTGTCTTGAAGCCATTTCTCGTACTTGAAGCGAGATGGTTTTCTGTTCCTTTCCTTGTCAGAAAATGTTCACAGAGACATCCAGTTTTCTACCCATAAAGTTATTTGGATAGAGAGGGGACAGCTAAAAGTGATGCTTTTGCTTTTCAAGTACATATCTCAACAAAATTCAGTATCCCACTGCAGCCAGTGTTTTCAATACTGTGTGTGCTGTGCCACATTTTGTATCACTTTCAAAATACTTCCTCCCATATGAATGCAACTGTTCTTCCTTCTGTGAATACTTTGTTACCACGCTATCTTTGGTTGGCTGTTTATAGATTTTGGTTTGGATTGTCGGCATGGTTTATGTAAATACAATTTATTTTTCCATGTAGTGAGAGTACAGTAATCACTGACTGGATGCTTTGAATCATTTTATATAATAAAATACTGACTTGGGCTATTAAAATGCTGCCATTTGAATTCAATTTGCTTTAGTTTATAAGCTTTGAGGCTTTCGCTTACAAGTCCATTGATGGATTAAATAGTACATTTCTTTATTGCTGAACAAAACTCTACCTACTTACTGGTACTTACTGGAGCCTCTTTTTTTTACTTTGTGTCCTGCAGCAAAGGATGATGGGAGCATAGCCGTCGCCCTGGGTTACACAGCACACCTGGTTCTGATGATCTCGTACTTCCTGCAAATCCCTCTTAGGTATCCAGTGATCCACAAGGGTTCACGCTCGTCTATCAAGGACACCATCTCTGACAGGCTCAGTGAGAAGGAGCGAGAGTAAGTAGGGTGACAGGGAAACACCAAACATCTAACCTTAAAATACTCACAGGCCTTTCATAAATGCTGACATGCTCTCTTATGGTTGGTGATGGGGTTTACTGTGTCTCTTACACAGCCTTGTGTGGCCTGTAGGGTTCAGTCTAAATTCCCAAAATGTTTAGATCAGGTGTACCTATTCAAATTAGGAGTTTCTATTTTCACAGCATAAAGTGCTGTCAGCATGAAAGATTCCTTGTAATTAATTTGGTGTAAGGAATGCCAGCCTTTTGATAACATGGTGATTCTACCAGAATCGCTGTACTCAGCAGTTTTGGCAGCTGTGATGTTTTAGGGAAACTGACATTGTATACAACCGTATGAATTACTTAAGTAAAGCAAATTAAAGGCAGAGCAATATAATGTTTTAGATTGACTTCTGCTGTACATTGTTTTATACTGCACTGGTGTTAGAAACTGAGGTGAATTGAACTGAAGTGTCATGCCAGTTTGTGACCCATCCCTCATGGCACCAGTGCATCATACATTAACAATACACAAATCCAGACAGCATAGGTGAGAGTCACTTTGTTATAGGTATATTTACATTTAAAATGGGCAGTTACACAGGGTGAATCCCAAGTTTCTTATAAACACTGTCGTTTCTCTCACTTCCATCTTTTCCTTGTGTCTTAATCCTGCTCAAGTAAGGTGAGAGGAAAATATGTGTGGTGAAAGGACTTGAGGAAACACATTATAAATGACATGAGAGGTCCTTTCCTCAGGTTCTTATGTAGTGTCCAGTCATTAACTGATTTCTCATAAAGGGCCATGTCAGTTCACAAAAAACTTCATGTATCCACGTTCTTTGCTTTTTGGTCCTCAGAGGCAATATAAGACTTGGAGCGTTGTTGAACCGATTTTATATGAAACGTGGGATGGACCCATAGAGTGCCATAGTAGTGAGTCCTAAAACATGGAAAGGTATTAGCATTTTTGCACTTCCAGTTCCCTTGCCCTGAAGTTTGTGGGTTTTTGGTTAGACATCTGAAATAAGGTCTGTGGTTACCACAAGGCCAATACATTGTTACATACACATTGTTCTGCAAAATAAAATGTCAGTAAATACCTCATTTGTGATTTTAATACTTTTACGTGTCTTGAAAAAGAGTTTGTTAACAAGTGGCTAAATGAGACTACAGAAGTTATTGGGGATGTTAACCATCATCACGCTGACTACAGACTCATCTATTTATTCGTCTGTCATTACAGCTTCATTATGTTCAAACTCATGCACTTGGAAACTATTCTAACTAACCAACCCAGCCATGATCACTAGCTAAATCAGGTCATGATAAGAGCAAAGGATTTTGTAGAAGAGGTAGACACTATAAATCAAATTATAAGTCGGAAGTTGTGGTGGTGACGTTCAAGTCATGGAACGGTGGTGTAGTTTGTTTATAGCCTAACGATAGATTACTTCTGCTGATTATATTTGGGCTTCAAACATCATAAAAGTGGTGTTCACCTGTGAAGATTATCTTGCTGAACAGAACGTGTAGTGCCATAAACCTTTGTTTGTTACAGAGCTTTATTTCTGCAATAACCCAAAAGCCTATGAAAAAATGCCATCGACTTTTTGTCAAGGGAACCAGGGTGATACTGTTTTCTGGGTTGGCCTACAAAAAAAGTTATCTCTACAGCACTGTTTTTCAGTTGCAGTATTGCAAATCTTAAGGAATCAGAAATGGGTTGTACTGATTGTGCAACCCATTTCTCTCATTTTACATTTTTTACTTGTTGCTGGCAAGTTTGTAAAGTTTATTTTATCTTTACTCAGATGTTTGCTTTTAAAGAATCTCTTTTGGATTTTGTAACAACAGCCTGCGACTCTAAGTGTATTTCTCACTCATCCTGTCTGTCTGGCTTGTTGTCTGGGTTTCCATATGTTTTCAGTTTTGTAAATGTTCTTACTATCTGAGAAGTTGGAAAATGATACAGTTTTGCATCTGTTGTTGTAATCACAGAAAAGTCTTGTTAGTGTCATACAGAGTTGCCAGTGCCTGTAAAAGCTTAACCTAAATCGAATACTCAATTGTATGATGATGGGTATGTTTCAGTTGTGTTCTAAGAGCCACAGTGGAGAGCCACGAAGCATTTTTAACGTTGCTAAGAAGCTACATGTGGTAGAACATAGAATGTGCCTGCTGAAATTTTATTTTGTCATTGTTACCACTTAAGTATTGCATGTTTGTTATAGTTCCACCAAGCTGATTACACTGTTCATTAATCTCTCAAAATCATAGGAGCCACATCAAATAACTGTGCTGCTGGTTTTTAAAGATCTAGAATTTTGTAGTCAGTGAACTGCCAGCCTTGTTATACTTTTATTCTTTTTGAGGCCCTTTATTTAAGATTATAACTTTACAAATTCAGATATCTAATACAGAATGGCATCATGAATGCATAGAACTGTAACCCAGAGTTTTATTGTCAATTCACTATATGTGCAGGACATACAGAAAAATCAAATACTGTTTCTCTCTCACCTAAGATTGATTGCCATACCGTATAAGAAACCAAAATAGAATAAAAGTAGAATAAGAAAGCTAAATTAAAGTAATTAGGATAAAACTAAATGGTACCTCCTAATAGGCTATGACTCAAAACTATGTACAGTCAGTGACAGTAGTATAAATAACAAGAAGATTGTCAGGCGCGTTGGTGATGAGGTGCATAGTAGCTTATGAAATGTACATGGACAGTAGTGCAAATGACCAACAGCAGCAGATATGATGGTAAAAAAACAGTCAGCAGCAGATTTACATGTAATATAACAAAAGGCAGAATGTACTGAGTTTGTGCAAAGCAGCAGAGGTAGTCTTTGCTTGAGCCTTCATGGCCAGTGATGTGGTGGTGTTGGTCCAGGAGAGGTCCTTAGAAATGTGCACCCCCCAGGAACTTGGTGCTGCTCACTCTCTCCACTACAGCACCATCGATGATCAGTGGGGGATAATTAATAAGCTATACCTTGTGTTGGGGAAAAGCATCCAAAGGTAACAGTAGCTTGTGTCTTTTACAGTGCAGAATATGGGGAGGATTATGTTTTTTCACACTCCTCAGCTAATACAGACAGTAGACCAGCCTGCGGTGATGACCTGAGCTTGGTCCGACAGAGTCAGATATAGATCCAAAAATTAAATGTTCAGATTGACCCTACCAACCATGATGCTAAGAAACCTCAGTAGAAATTTGCCATGGCAGTTTGTGTAGATTATGAATTGTACAGGCACTATAATTGCAGCATAGGTCAATGTGATAAAATTACTGTTTGTGTGTTATGGTCTTGAAACTGTGCATCACATCAGTTTAACAAACACGTTGCTCAATTATGATAACTGAACATTTTGTCTACCTGCTCAGGTATGCACATCTCATGCATATGGACATTCAACAACAGCAAAACCCCATTTGGTAAGTGTGAGGAATAATGATGAAGATGACACTATAACCACCAGTGTTGCAAACAGCCCCATGGATGTGTGTGAACATGATTCCCCCAGTGTACTGAACGCATTTCCCTGTACAATGAAATTCTTACTTTGCGGTCCACACGAATGCCACACAATATAAGTGAAATATAAAGTAGATAAGTATGTAATGCACAAAATCTAAGGCACTTTAAAACAGCCAATGAAAGAAGCATATTGAAAAATAGAAGAACACAATATAATGGAGAGAATGTATACTATGCAAATAGCCAGCAATAGTACAAATAGTCAGTGTGAGTGTGCAATTATGCATGTGTAGTTCCTGAGTCAGCTGTTTAGAAGTTTGATGGCAGTCAGAAAGAGTTTTTCAGTCTAGAGGTCCTGCATTTCACACTTCTGAACCTCCGACCAGAGGGTAGAGGTGTGAACAGTCCATGCTGGGGGTGGGTGGGGTCTTTGAGAATGAAGTCAGCTTTCCTACGCACTCTGCGATAGTAGATGCTCTGCAGAGAGGGCAGTGAGATCCTGGTGATCTTCTCTGCAGTCTTTACCACTCTCTGCAGGTGCTTGCGGTCCATAGCAGTAGTGCTGCCATACCAGACAGTGATGCAGCTGGTCAAGATGCTCTCGACGATGCAGCTATAGAATAGTACCTGTTATTTTATTTTAAAAGTGTATTGATGTAAATAATTTTCACACATTTTCTATGGAGTGTTTATCAGTTAGAAGCTGAACAGACAACCTTTTGTATTCTATTGTGCAGTATTTTGTGTAGTTTGCAATTTAGGGGAGGCTCATAGTAAATCATTTAAATTAGTAAGAGAAGAGATGCAGGCCACATACAGTGAGGAACAGAAGTATTTGAACACCCTGCGATTTTGCAAGTTCTCCCACTTAGAAATCATGGAGGGGTCTGACATTCACATTGTAGGTGCATTCCCACTCTGAGAGACAGAATTTAAAAAAGATTTTCAGGAAATCACATTGTATGATTTTTAAAGAATTTATTTGTTATTTTGTTCCTCACTGTATACTGGAGACGTTAAATCAGGTTACTATTAAAGTCCTGCAGGTAGAAATCCTCTCCATGTTTTGTTTATGGCATACTGTAGTAAGAGACATTTGCCAGCCTTGGGTGTAACCCTCTAAGGGTGATGTGTAAGAAGGCTAGCAGCTGGGAGAAAGTGTGTGAAAAAAAACGGCTTTATTAGGCAGATTAGACAAAAGTTATTGAGTGGCCATCTCTCTGTGAGGGTGATTATGTCATGACAGCAGCTGGAGAGACTCACTGCGAGTCAGTTTACACCTTTCCAGTCCTACCAGTCAGTATATTTATACCAGCGTCCAGTAATTAAAAAAAAGCTGCAGGCTGTGTGGCCATTGAACAGACACAACAATTGAGTTTAGGTGTCTCTGAGTGGGGCCGACCATGTTTATGACTCCTAAGGCCCCTGTGGGCTGCATACACACAGCAAAATGATGTGTGGGGAGATGGAAAGCAACTAGCTGAGCTCTAAATGCGCACGAAAA